GTTTTGAGCAACTTATCAATTAGATGTTTAATTAGAGACAAGGGATGAGACAGATAGGAAGTTTGTGGCTAGACTATGAAGAACTTTGAGGGCACAGGTTAAGACTAAGGAGTAAGGTCAATATAAAAAATTGGTTTTTGCACTTAATAGTGACCAGGCATATGGTAGATTCTCAATTTTTGTTGAATAACCATATAGTTAATGAAAGAAGTTTCTCCTTTATAAGAGACTTTCAGGAGAAGATCTGAGAAAGATTGAATTAGAAAAAGTACTATTTGCAACTCAATGAGAATACTGTAACTGGGCAAAATGGATGCTAAAAATGTTATGAGAAATATTGATTGGGGGCTTCCCTGGTGGCACAGTGGTTAAGAATCCGCCTGCCAATGCAGGGGACATGAGTTTGATTCCTGGTCCGGGAAGATGCCACATGCTGCGGAGCAACTAAGCCTGTGCACCACATCTACTGAGCTTGCGCTCTAGAGCCCGCCAGCCACGAGCCACAACTACTGAGCCCGTGAGCCACAACTACTGAGCCTGCACTCTAGAGCCCGCCAGCCACGAGCCACAACTACTGAGCCCGTGTGCCACAATTACTTAAGCCCGCGTGCCTAGAGCCCACGCTCCGCAATAAGAGAAGCCACCTCAATGAGAAGCCCACGCACTACAACGAAGAGTGGCCCCTGCCCGCCGCAACTAGAGAAAAGCCGGCGCGCAGCAACGGAGACACAACGCAGCCAAAAATAAAATTAAATTAAAGAAAAAAAAACAAGAAATATCGATGGGGAACTGAACAGCTGGTGACTCAGTCAGCATCACCAAGTGAGACAGCCAGACGCTGCGTGTGCCCTGATGGGATCCAGGAGGACATGCTGGGCTACACATGCTCTTGCCAAAAACTGGTCCTGAATGGAATCACGCTTCCAGATCTAATTAACCAGTTTACTGGAAACGATGCTAAACAACATCAACAAAATTCAGAAAGGGGAAATTCTAGAGGACAAACAACCCAGTTTCTCCAACAAACAAAGGGCACAGAAAGAAACAGGGGATGTGAACATGTAGATTAAGTGAAATAGGCCAATGAAACAAAAGCCCTCTCTGTGAGAACTTAGGATTCTTAACTCAAGCAACCTACAGGTAAAAAGATATTTTTAAGAAGATTGGAGACATTTTAACATGAACTGAGTATTAGATGATATCATATAACACATAGTTCTTGCTGATTAGTTACATACTGGTTTACATGATACAGTGTCTGAAAATCTCCAGAGATGAAGAAGTGACCACCAAAATTACTGGCTGCAGAACCACGCTGTGCTGCTAGATCACCGCCGGCAAAATGCGTGTCGCGTGCCCCTGCCTCTCTCCCATTCAAGTCTGTTCCAAACTCAGGCCACACACCTGTGCATTTCGTTGGATAAATCTAATAAACATCTGTAATGGTAGCTTTATTTCACCCTTTAGGACATTAAAGGCCAGGCTTCGCTGGCTAGATCACAGAGTTTTGTGTAAGAGACATCCAGACAGGAAGAGAAAGGGGCGGGAACTTACCCTGTTCTAGTAACAGAGGACAGTGGGAAAAGGGGGTTAAGACAGAGAGAGACAGAGAGATGGTGGAGGGGAAGGAGGGAGTGATTAGGTAAGTGAGGATCACAGAAAGAGCAAGTGGGAGCTTGCCCCCCCCCCACCATTTCCCATTTAAGACTCTGGAAAGAGATCAGCTCTCCAGGGGTCCCTGTTCCAAGGTTGCACACAGCCAAATACACTACTGAACAGTACCTGCGTTGTCCACAGCCACTAGAAATTGTATTGGCCCAGCAACTAAGGGGCAATGCCTGGGGCAACAAAGGGGGACTTCAGACTCTGCCTCAGCAGTATGGTCAGTGTCACGCCTTGCCTGTCGTTAAAACAGGAAAACCACCTGAAGGGGGTCCTCTGCACTGGCTTAAATGGGGTGGTGCTGGGACTGCATCTCAAGAAGATTAGACACTTCCTTCTCTCCAAAGAAGTTGTCAATTATTTCTCCCTCCTAACTCCGCCCTCCCTTCCAGCTTCCCTCGCCAGAAGAAAAACACTTGAGCCTTATTCTGGGGGCAAGTGTGACTGTATTTTGAATATCATCCTTGACACTCACGTTCCAGGAGGGCTCTGACCTTTCCTGATTTTTCTACAGTCCTTTGCCCCCAGATATGCTTACTTACTAAGGAGCCCTCTTTAATCAGCCTTTAGTAACTAATATAGTAGATGACCTACGGTAATGCTAAAGAATTAAGGAAGCTGAATGCTGGAAGGCGGAGAGCAATTTGAATCTTCTGGAGAGTTTTCAAACCACACCTGCCGTGGCCGGAGATTCTGCTAGAGCTCTCACACCCCCATTCCCACCCCATGGGACGTGAGCAGGCTGTTTGTTTTGATAAAGAACTTCCAGTGAGTGAGAGAATGATGACCTTCAGGGAGAGCCGCTAGTTTAGAGTCTGCTGTATGCTGGCAGGAAAGATTTGCATTTTCAGTGCCATCACAGAGACCCAAAGAAGGGATAACTGAAGACAGCTGGAACTGGCTAGGAAAAGATTTGGGCAGCAAAATGTCCTTGTATAAGCAGGGCCCCCTGCTCAGGTGTTCCTCAGTGCCACAGCTGCCCTGGCCTGTGCTGAGTCTCTGCACCACTGTCCATGAGACGTAGGGTCACTGGTGAAGTGTCTACCTGGTGTGACTTCCTGGACCCAGATACTGGCTGGCGTGGAGGAACTATGCTACATTTTTGTCTGTTAAAGTGCAAATATTTGCCCTGTAAGAAAAAAATCTGAACGTCAGTGAGTTTAAAAATGAGTACGAGAGGGCTTCCCTGGTGGCGCAGTGGTTGAGAGTCCGCCTGCCGATGCAGGGGACACGGGTTCGTGCCCCGGTCTGGGAGGATCCCACATGCCGCGGAGCAGCTGGGCCCGTGAGCCATGGCTGCTGAGCCTATGCGTCCGGAGCCTGTGCTCCGCAACGGGAGAGGCCACAACAGCGAGAGGCCCGCATACCGCAAAAAAAAAAAAAAAAAAAAAATGAGTACTAGCGTCAGTAGAATCTACTGAAAAATTCATAAGCCGTGAATTAAACAAAAATCCTATCAAGTATGATATGATTTCATGGGAAGAATAGGTTACAAAACCAAAGTTGGAGTGGGATCCCCATTTTGCATTTATATGAAGATAGTACCTGTCTGTTGAGGGAAGCACGTGGAGGGGATGTGAGTGGAGACGGGGGTAGATGGAGGGGGTGGGATGTGAGGGTAGGGGTGATGCCAGGAGTGTGGGGGTGTGTGGAAGGGAGTGTGTGTTGGGGTTCGTGTGCACACGTGTGTGCATGCTCTCACAGGCCTAAACACAGCGAAAACTATAGTGGGCACCCAGACTTCTAAAACCTTGAAGGTTGGTATTGAAGGCAAAAAGGCGGTGCAAGGGTTCTGTCACTCCTCCACCCCGTTCCCCCAGTAAAACTCAATGATGTTTAAGAGCAAGAACTTTGGAGTCAGACCTGGTTTTCAATCCTAACCCAACGTTCACTAGCCGAGAGACCCTGGACAAGTTATTCAGCCTCTTGACATCATTCTCTCATCTGTAACACAAGGATATTTCTTAGCACCCATATGGGACTGAGCACAGTGTCACACATGGCAGACATTCAATAACGGGTAACTTTTAAAAATTCTAGCCCATTGCTCAAAATGGATCCCGAAAGAAAACTGCACCATGGCAACAAAATAATCTCCACGAGAGCAATTTTGAAAATATGTGCACATTCTATGGCTTCTTTATTTTTAAGAGGTTTTTTGTTTTTTTGGTTTTTAGAGAGGAAGAATAGAGTTTGCAAACTATTCTTGATGACTTGGGGCTCTTGGGACTAATGATAGAGTGAAAACATGAAGTCCACAGGCTAATGTTCCCCAGGGATTTCTACCAACCAAACCTTTTACAAGCGTTCTCACTTGTAAGCAAATAAACTGACTGGACCTTGCAGCCTCCTTATGTCTTGTCTCACCCTGTGACAAAGGTGCTGGGAGGCTGAGATTGGCCACCAGTCCCAGCAGGATGACACACAACCAGAGAGTTGAATGCAATCTGCCTAGAGGAGGTGGTGATAAATTTGCAGCCGTTAGTCTTTTGTTTTCTCTTCAGGTGGAATAATCTTTACTTTTACTAAATGATTAGTCTTCCAAATAATTAGAAAGCTTCTATAAAATTAGTATTTCTAGGTGATTTCTGAATTATATATTACTTCTATTTTTCTCTTTTTTTTTTAACTGGAGTATAATTGCTTTACAATGTTGTGTTAGTTTCTGCTGTACAACGAAGTGCATCAGCTATGTGTATACATATATCCCCTCCCTCCTGGACCTCCCTCCTACCCATCCCACCCATCTAGGTCATCACAGAGCACCGAGCTGAGCCCCCCATGCTATACCACAGGTTCCCACTAGCTATCTATTTTACACATGATAGTGTGTTTAACATCAAAATCAATCACAATTTTAAGCATTGTGGGGTTTTGCTGTAACGATTGGAAATTTAGCCAATAATAAATTTAGCCAACTTTGGAATTAGGAAGCAAATAGCTAAGTATTGGAAATTTATCCAATAATCACTTTGGAATTATACAGCAAATAGCTAGTGGAAATATGTGTTACTTTGCAGATTATCTAGAGTGCTTCTTAAACCCATTAAAAAGTAATTCTGGGGCTTTCTTGGTGGCGCAGTGGTTAAGAATTCGCCTGCCAATGCAGGGGACACGGGTTCAAGCCCTGGTCTGGGAAGATCCCACATGCCATGGAGCAACGAAGCCCGTGCACCACAACTACTGAGCCTGCGCTCTAGAGCCCGCGAGATGCAACTACTGAGCCCCCGTGCCACAACTACTGAAGCCCATGCACCTGGAGCCCGTGCTCCGCAACAAGAGAAGCCACCACAATGAGAAGCCTGCACACCACAACGAAGAGTAGCCCGGCTCGCCGCAACTAGAGAAAGCCCGCGCGCAGCAATGAAGACCCAGTGCGGCCAAAACTAAATAAATTAAATAAATAAATAAATTTTTAAAAAAGTAATTTCCCCCAGCTACTACAAGAAAGTTCCTGCTCTAAGTCAGGGACACCTACTCACTGATTCTCATAAGAATAATGCAAAGTACTTTTATGTTCTTAAAAATAAAAGCAGTATATGGCCCTTCTTTTTTCTTTTTCTTTTTTTATAGCCTCTATAGCATCTCCCTGCTAATGCTGTTCCAGCTGTAGAGTTACTGGGCCTAAATAGTGTTGAGATTCTCAACACTTCTAACTGCTGGTCTCCATAGGAACAGATATGCCTCCCTAAGCAATGGCTGGCTGCAGCAGGAGGGTCTCAGGTTCTGTTAGGGACCTTCTTGTGGTTACTGTAGCTGATGCCACCAATGTCCTCTAGTACATTCATGGGCAGAGGAAACAATGGTGGAATTCTTCTCTGTGGTGACAGTGGTTAAGGTCTGCAGGTAACACAGCTAGAGGGCAATGGGGGACTCAGCCAGCACCATGGAGGCTGACTTCAGGGCTTTAGAAGCATTCATTTCTCCTTCTGCTGCAAGGACCTAAATCGACAGAAATAAAAGCCTTTAGACAGCTTACAGCTGTCACCAGTGCTTTCTTTTCCTGGGTCTGCACTGACACTTCTCTCCCAGCCCCTACTTGGCCACCCATGTTTCATCTGCTTACTTCTTTGGCAAGGATTAGAGTTTCACATCCTAATGTGATGAGAGAAATTGGAGAAGGTTGCAGGAAGCAGGGAGATAGCTTACAAATTATGAGTCCTTAGATTTCATTCTCAAACAAGATAAAAGCGCTGCCTTTAACCCGAACAAATACAGGTCCATCTACCCTGGTGATGCTCTTGAGTCACCATGGAGCCTCACCACTGGCTGCTTTCGTTTTCAGAGAAGTCTGAAATTCAAGGCCTCCAACTGGCTTCTTTTCTGTCCTTTTTACTTATCATAGATTTTTTTTTAGATTTCATTCGGTTGCCAATTTTGTCTCATCCTTACAATGTAAGGATTGTTTCAAGCTCTCCCCGCTCTTGATGCAAGCAGCAGCAAGTGCCGGTCTGCAAACCCTCACTGGGACTCTCCTAAGTGCCCTGTTCCTCCTCTGGTCCTCAGACTGCCCAGGAATGACTGGAGCTCAGCTGCCCCTCTGTGCGCACTCACTGCCCACGTGCAAAAGCGACTCCCGGGCTTCCCTGGTGGCGCAGTGGCTGAGAATCTGCCTGCTAATGCAGGGGACACGGGTTCGAGCCCTGGTCTGGGAGGATCCCGCATGCCGTGGAGCAGCTGGGCCCGTGAGCCACAACTACTGAGCCTGCGCTCTGCAACAAGAGAGGCCGCTACAGTGAGAGGCCCGCGCACCGCGATGAAGAGTGGCCCCCACTCGCCGCAACCGGAGAAAGCCCTCGCACAGAAACGAAGACCTAACACAGGCATAAATAAATTAATTAATTAATGTAGGGGCTTCCCTGGTGGCGCAGTGGTTGAGAATCTGCCTGCTAATGCAGGGACCACGGGTTCGAGTCCCGGTCTGGGAGGATCCCACATGCCGCGGAGCGACTGGGCCCGTGAGCCGTGGACGCTGAGCTGGCGCGTCTGGAGCCTGTGCTCTGCAACAAGAGAGGCCGCGATAGTGAGAGACCCGCGCACCGCGATGAAGAGTGGCCCCCGCTTGCCACAGCTGGAGAAAGTCCTTGCACAGAAACGAAGACCCAACACAGCAAAAATAAATTAATTAATAAACTCCTACCCCCAACATCTTCTTTAAAAAATAATAATAATAAATTAATTAATTAATGTAAAAAAAAAAAAAGCGACTCCCAAGTCAACTGCTTAGAAGCTGCTGGAGCTTAGCAGAGAAACCAGAGATAAAGTAGAGGGAAACCTCCCTCGAGTCCCAAGTATGATTCCAAAGGGGGTACTTGGAGGCTTCTAATCTAATTGGCTTCTGATACTTCAGGAAACCCATCCACACAGATGTGAGGGCCATGGATCCAACAGACTCACGGACACGCCAGACCAAGCTGCACTCACATTTTGTAATTCTGACCTGCATTGTAGTCACCCCCCCTCCTCTTAGTTCAGTTCACGTAACACACCAGAAGGAAGATACTCCAAATACAGGCACCAAGTTGCCACCTCAGAATCATCAACTTTATAAACATGCAGGTTCCTGGGCCCACCAGAGACTCTACTTCACTGAGTCTGAGGTGAGGCCTGGGAATTGGTGTTTGCTTTGCTCATTTCTCTCTAGGAGGCTCTGCTGTGTGGCCAGAGTGGGGACCCACCTGGCTAAGTCACTGAGTATGCTGCCGAGTAACACCAAGCTTCCTCAAGGTGCATTAAGCTGCCTATGAGCTTTCAACTCAAGGGGAAATTCTCAGTAAAAACTGTGAGAAAGAAACCCTCTTCTTATTGAAATCGTTGAGGGGACCTGAGCTTCCTTTCAAGCTCCATCCTTGTTGGCTCCAAGGCTGGGAAGCTCACCCTCCAGTGCAGATGGAGTCGCCCTTACCCTGGCCCTGGCCTCCCGGGTGGCCTCAGCCTCAGCAGCCATGGACCTCTGCAACTGCCCGGGAATCCAGCCGTCTTTGATTTCCACTTGGGCCACCTGGGTCCCCCGCAGCTTGGTGGCGTCATCAAGTAAAGTCTGTTTCCAAGTCAAAAGAAAGGTCGTTGATCAGAAGACAGGTGTGTAATCGAAGTTCCTGCTATATGTTATATACGCAAGAAAAGTCCTCTTCTTTTTCTCCTTCTGTATTTACAGCATTTGAACTGAGACAGTTTGGAAAGGGGATAGGAGTTCTTACCGCCCACTTCCTGGTATTGAAGTGAATCCTGGGAAGGATTCAGAAACAAAACTTGATAGGTCTTTTAATAGGTGGTCTCTCAGCAGGTCCGCCCCAAACCATTCCTAATGAAGTCTATACTATCCATGTAGATGTGAGTAAATAGCCCACATTTTCTTGTCACTGACACCAAACTGGCAGCAATGGATTTTGTCCTGCTTCTGCCATTTGCAGCTGTGAATCATTGGGCCCATGACTTAACCTTTCTGATTCTCAGTTTTCATACTATAAAAGGTTTTCTTTCAGGATTGTCATGAGTTTTGGAGATAACACATGTTAAAATATGTATCGGTGCCCAGCAATAACTCAGTACATGTTATCACTGGGTACTTTTAGAGATATTATTTGTCTTGCTCTGTTTAACCCCTGACCTGTGGCTCAGTTTTAAACAGGTAGCAAGGCATATATATATATATATGCATATATATTTGCATATATTTGCATATATATGCGCATATATTTAGGCATATATTTTTTAGAGCAGAAGAAGCCTAAAATCAAAGACGTCCTCATCTTTTGTTAAAGCTTAAGACCACTGAAGATATCTTGCTGGTTATCCTGGAGGGGAAGGGATGAGAAAGAATGCCTTGAGAAATAATGAGACCAGATGGGTAGTTCCCTCAAAGGGGAAAGGGCAGAGATCTATGTGATACCAAATAGCAAGTGAGCCCTAGCTTTTCCGTGATCCCTGCAGAAAGCTGGGAGATGGGGAGAGCTCACAAGAAGCCAGTGACCTGACTGTGATGGGGAAACAGCTGAGTCGTTGAACTCGTGTGGCTCTTAAAATGACGTGGAGAGTTATCACGCAGAACTGATATTACCTTATAAAACCTCGGGGACTTTGCACTACCTTAGGGGCTGGAGGAGATGCCAAGAAGGGCCAAAGTTGAATTTCCCTCTTAACTTACAGAAGGCAGGCTCAGAATCAAAATGTTAATTGAGTCAAGAAAACACAGAAATGTGATCGTCTATAATCTAGGGTGTACGGGAGGTGAGATGGATACCTGTTACATCCTTATCAATATTACAATTATGACTGCTATTCATATCATTATTGATATTAGTACATGAAGTTGGATTTCCCAGGGATAGCAGTCCTGCGCTATCTCAACCAAACCTCCTTCTAACGTTCACATTCCACCGAAATGCCTGAGAAAGGGCAGCCCTTCCTCTGAAGTAATCTAAACTAAAAATAACTCTGATCTCTAAGCTCTTCAAAAAAGGCTAAAGTGTACAATGGTAATTCATAATTTTGAATTCCACACACACTCCAACAGCTCCCCGCTCCCACTCAGATTTTTAAATCTGGACCTCATGATTATAAAAAAAAAAAAAAAAAAGTGAAATCCCGAACTGAAGCCCATCTGTTTAGAGCAGTTGTGTGTGTGTGTGCGTGTGTGTCTGTGTGTGTGTGTGTCTGTGTGTGTGTGTGAGTGTGCGCGCGCTGCTTTGAACTGCTGATACTTGATCATCACTGTTAATTAAAATGAGAGAATTAAAGATGTAGGCTATTGGTCCTTGACGTCTTTACCTGGATGCTATGGGCCATCTCTTCTCGGCCAGCTAAGATCTGGGACAAGGTCTGTGTCCCTAAGACATTTCTCAGAGTGGTCTGAGCCAGCAGAAATGTGGCTTGCTGGACATCGCTGACATTAGCCACTGCCGAGACGGCACTATAGATTCTGTAATAGACCACTCCATCCACTTGAGTGGTCACAGAGTCTCGGTGAGGATCTGTAGAGCAGGAACACGGAAAATCACATGCTTATGACTTTCACAATGATTGATCCACAAAGGGTCAGCCAGTCCCAGAGCCCTCTCCACAGGAGGAGAGCTTTAATGACAACTCATGCCAGCATCACCAGAAATCTGTCCTGACTTGAATATACTATCATCCTTGTTGATAGCAAAATTCCTACACAGATGTGATCTGTACCTATCCCTGTAACTTCATCTTAGAGAAGTCAGAAGCGAAATAGGTATTTCCACTTTAAAATGTGATAGTAGAACCTGCTGGAATTCTACCATCTAAGTAGTGGTAGAACACCTGTCTCCCTGATACCTGAAATCTTTTTGGTTCTCAGTTTCAACAGGCTTGATGAATAGCAGTGCTTTTTAGAAAACAGATGGCACCAGAGACCGTGTTCTGTACTCAAATAAAGAAAAATTCATTTATAGAGGCTCTGCATTAATTGTTCTGAATTAACATGACAAGGTACTTTGGAGCAAATGAGCTTTCTGTGGGTACCACGAAAGCAGGACCTAGAACTCCCTTCTCCCATCTAGAACTGTTTACTATGGAGCCAGAAAAGGCCCATGAGAGCCCCTAAACATCCTAAGCTCTCTTATGATTAGGGCTGAATTCCAAAGTAAGGACTCTGCAGTTCCCACCAATGGCATGAAGACATCATTGTTGAGTCTCGATTGAGTTTTCTGGACCAGAGAGAGGAAGAGTAACATTTCCTCGTAAGTGTTGATTTTCTCACTTCTCATCCCCTTTGCCCTCCCACACATTTTCTTTTCTCTTCCTGGATCATTGTGTTTATCACAAACTGGCATGATTATTAGCAATTCTGTTTCTCTTCCTTATCACCCACTTACTGGGTCTGGTCATTTAGTTGCTGTCCTTTAAGAATTGAAAAGAACTATTTGAAATCCAGTTACAGGTGAGCCCTGTACAGTGTCTGCTCCTTTCCCATGCACACCCCACTTTGTTGCATCCAAACACTCAAAAAATTTAGTACAGTACACACGGTTATATTTAAAATGGATAACCAACAAGGACCTACTGTATAGCACAGGGAACTCTGCTCAGTATTCTGTAACAACCTAAACGGGAAAAGAATTCGAAAAAGAATAGATATATGGATACGTATAACTGAATCACTTTGCTATACACCTGAAAGTAACACAACATTGTTAATCAACTATGCTCCAATATAAAATAAAAAGTTAAAAAAACGTAATGCAGAGGTGAGTTATATCGCTATTACTAAAATATTTCCGGAGACGGTGATGGAAAGGATAACGTCCTGAGCGGCCACCAATAGTTTCAGCCCCCAGTACAATGACTTATCAGACTCTTCCAGGGGTCGGCTTGTCATTCTCCACCCCACTGTCTCTGCCATCTGTATCCCTTCTCTCTCTTCTCTCAGACTTTCTCCCACCCAGTCATTGCAGGTCTTCTAGCAATTCAGCCCTTGCTCTTGGCTTCATTCTCATTTGGCGAAACAAAGCCCCATAGTCTCAGGAGCCACCTCCCCAAGCAGATCTCTAAGAATTCAGTTCATCCTCCCCTTTATAGTTTGAAAACATATGATACAGTCTCAATGGTCCCTGTAACAGGGAAGATATTGGTTTTATTTCTAGAAACATAGCTTTAATCAGCATTACCTCCTGTGGAGGGATGTTGCACGTACCAGTCCGGAGATCAACTTTGACAAACACGTCTATGCAAGGCAGGACCAGGATCAAACCTATGCAAAAGAAAATATGGTTTAGAATTTCACCCAACTGAAAATAACTGCAACGAATTGTCTGCTAGCTATACAGTACATTATTTGCATGGGACTATAAATGCTTCTCAGATGATCTTCCATACGTACACCTATACCTTTGGGGAAATTATTTCCTGCTATGAGTCAATGACTAAAGAAAAGTGATTCCCTAGAAATTAAAATCTTTTGGTAAAAAGCTGAAGATCCTTGACAATTAATTTTTAGATTTTCTTTTGTAAAACATTCAACTTACTTCTATCCAAGTGTTGAGTGTGACATTTATTTAAAAGGATATTTTGGAAATTGGTTTCTTTATGTTAAAGGTATCTGTATAAAAGATTCAATTAATAGACTTTAGACCTTGAATATCAGTGACTGTCAACATTCTCATTTATCTTCATTAGTACTGAAGGAATGTTAAAATTGAAATCTTCCCAGGATTTCAGTGTCCCCAAAACCAATGTATTACAAAATTTGTAGTTTCTCTGTAGCTGTGTTCTAGTTTATATACAATGACATTCCCCGGTTGTAAATACTTTTACTCATCTCTTGTGAAGATTTGGATTGAGGTAGGGATAGGGCTAAGGAAACTCATTTGAGGATTCTATGACTCCTTAACACTGCCCTGGGGAAGGTTCTCTACAGCAAGCGCTATAAAGATTAGAACCACAAGGAATGTCAGCAAGATGGGGACACCAATCCATTTTCATTTACCAGAAAGATTCTGTGCTATTGTTTTTGTTTTTAAAGAAGAAACAACTTTCTACACTGAGTATCATGAAAAGGACAGGTAGCATCAACAGAAAACACTGCTAAGGTGCTTTCTTTCTTTGGGTGTCTAAACCTTTCTGGGGTAAGGATTACTTCCTAATTTACTTTTTTTTTTCCGGTGCTAAGTAACCAGTTAAGATCATGGCCCTTAGAACTAGAGAGAGTTAAGTTCCAGCCCTACCACTTACCAGCTGTGACCTGGGAACATTTATCTAATTTTTCTGAGCTTCATTCACCTAATATCTATAAGATGGCAGTGAAGATTAAGCAGGTGTCAGCATGATAATGAAATAAAATACTAAACATAGTGCCAGGCATGTATTCAGTGCTGAAAAGTAGCAGCTCCTGTTATGAACACTTTTATTATTAAAGCATAATTTACTATTTACAGAAGTGGAGATGTTTTCCATTAGCAATTTGGCCTGTTTTCCTCCGGCTCTTATGACATTTTGAGGTAACTTCTCTTAGCCCCAGAGACATGTATGACGAGATTAGTTATCCTGGGCGATTTAGTGGTGAACACTTCTGGGAAAATTCATTTAAAAGAGACTTTTCTCTAGAGTCCTGCAAGTTATAGCTATTTGACCTCTCTCAAATCCAATTTTATTCTAATTTATAATCTTGGCTTCACCACGTGAAACATGACCAGGACGGGGTTAACTTTGCTCTGGTATTTCTCACTTGGATAATTCTAACACCTCTATTTGGACAAACTCATAAAAATATCCATAATAAGCAATTTTTGCCCTCTTTCTTTTAGGTTCCTTATTAGACAAGTAGGATTGTATCAATACTACTTGAAATGGCCAAGTCTCCGTAACAAGCTTCCCCTTTGGAAGTTTCTCATATGTTTAAAAATGTAACAGATACCTGAGTGCCTACCGTAGTATATGGCCAAGTCCAAAGCGCACAGAGTGAATAAGGAAGTTCCTGCCCCCCCAGAGATCCTACAGTGCAGTTGAAGGGAGAATGATTTTACTTAAATACATCACATTAGGGGGAAGAAAGCAAATGTTATTAGAGAAGTATAGCAAATAACCATTCTCTTCCATGTGCCTTCCAAGATGCTGTTTGGAGAGCCTCCCCTGTCAAGAATATTAGAATCTATCATATGAAATTGCCATTTTGGTGGATCGAAACCAAACATTAGCAATTTCATAGGGTTCAACACAATATACACAAGAGAAGTTATGAGTATTAAATCAGTCTTACTCCTGAGGACTTTTAGTATCGATACTCCTGGCTCCCACAAAAGAAGATCCCATCCTTTTATGATATGAACAGTTTGGGACATTTTTTACTCTGAGGCTGTAGAGAAAGGATGGAAATAAAGACCACATTTGACGAAAGGAATTGTCAAATGGCTTCCAGCTCTATGTTGCTCTTAATCCACTTGTCAAGAGAGGACATTACCTTTGACTTTTCCATTGGCTCTTTCAAAGAGTGAGAATCAAACACCAGCTCCCGGAATACTCTCCCTGAGTAGCTTAATTGTCTCCCTTGGCCATTTACTCCCTCCCTTCATTCTTCTTTCATTCTCTTAGTGGCCCTGGTAATAAGGGACACCCAGCCAATGTAACCAGAGCCACTCTTTGTTCACATTCCCTGAAACTCTCAGAGGGAGTGTTAGAACACTGGTCCAGATTCCAAAGCTCTCCAGCTAATGGTCTAGTGATCACTTCTGTTAACTCAAGTAAGAGGACAAGATCCTTCAATTGTACAGAAAGGCAAGGGCTCCAGCTTCCGGTGATTTTTTTTTTTCAATAAATGTTTCCAGAGAAAATTTTTGGTGGCACTAGTAGCAGTAATAGGTGCCCGTGATCCTTATCACGAGCAGCTGCAGTGTCATACCTGGCCCTTTGGCTTTGTCAGCTTGGATGCGTCCCGGTCGGAATACAACAGCATTCGTACTCCTTAATAATCTAAGAGATTAAGGGAGAGTATTTAGTCTTAATGATTCATCAGCTCATGGAGAGAGCCCAGTTTATTTCCCAGGGTATTACCTTCAAGCACATCCATATGGAGATAGGGAAGGTAATGACCGACAGGAAAGAAAACGAAAACAGGATCCAGCCACATACACCAAGCCCTTTACTCTTGATGCCTAGGAGATGAGGAGGCAGTTCTGTAGCTGACATGGTTCTTAGGAAAGCGATTCAGCTGCGTGGGTGAGGAAACCGTCCAGAGGGCTGGCCAAGCCAGAATGGGGCTGCGGAAGTGACCTGAATCCACACACACGCACGATTGCAGGAAACACCACACACACGCGCGCACACACACACACACACACACACACACACACACACACGGAAAATGTTCCTTCAGGTTTTTAGATGAAAACTGACCTGTCCCTTCCAAGAAAAGTCTCATAGCAATCAATAACAGTAATCACCGTTACATTTACTTAGGGCTGCCATGGTCTATTATTCTCAAAATGCATAAAACTACCCGCCTCGGGATCATCAGGGTGTCATTTTAAAAGACAGATTTCTAGGCCCCCAGAATTCTCCAGGGGAAGTCTAGGCAACCTCTGGGGCAGATAGGTAGGTACTCTTATCCCCAAACAAGTCAACAGAGCACAAGGAGAAACATCTTCCAGAGTGCTTACGTTTGAGGTTCTATGAGAGGCTTTAACTTCCCAGTGTGGTGGCCTCAGGAAAGCCACTCGACCTTTCTGAGCCTCCATTTCTTCATCTGTAGGATGGGGATGGAAATTACCTACCTTGAAGGATGTGATGAGGATTAAATGAGATTATTTATATAAGGCACCTAGCCCAGACATTAATGCCTACCTTAGTAGATGTATATTACTACACTTATTCCCATCTTACAGATTGATAAATACTTCAGAAGTCTTTATATTCACTATTTCACCTTGTTTTAAAGCCTTACTGCTTCTTGGTTCTCTTCTCCTTGACAACGAGCCCCACCCTCAACCCTCCACTTCCTCCAATTGATTTCACATTCTCCACACAAGCAATAGAACTAATCATATGTGCTATATAACTCTACTCAGATAATCCACAAACACCTTATGTTATTAGGCCTCTATCTCAGTTAATGTCTTAACCATCCGCATTATTGTCCAGGTTAAAGACACAGGGTTATCATTGCCTCTTCCCTATCCAACTACAGAAGTCACTGAGCCTCACTGGTACCACCTCAAATTCAGCCTCACGTATCCGTTTTACTACAACGGGTTCATTGGCGAACATAAATTTACGAATATTTACAAAGGTTCTAGGGTTTTGCTCTTACAGATAATGCTGTGATGAGTCCTTTTTTTTTTTTTTTTTTTGCGGTACTCGGGCCTCTCACTCTTGTGGCCTCTCCTGTTGCGGAGCACAGGCTCCGGACGCGCAGGCTCAGCGGCCATGGCTCACGGGCCCAGCTGCTCCGCGGCATGTGGGATCTTCCCGGACCGGGGCACGAACCCGCGTCCCCTGCATCGGCAGGCGGACTCTCAACCACTGCGCCACCAGGGAAGCCCAAGTTTCTACTTTTTTAAACTGAATATGTTTGGGAGATGTTTCCATGTCATTACATCTGTATCTACCTCATTCTTCTTCATTGTTGCCTCCTATTCTAAATTTGTGACTCAGTTATTTAGCCATTCTCCTATCGATGGATATTATGGTTACTTGCAATTTTGCCTTTACAAACAAGGCTGCAATAACTGTGCTTGTACACGCCTCTCCCAGACAATTTGCATCTTGAGGAAAGCATTGAGAAGGCAGCACAGCCCTTGCGCCCTCTGGTGTGTTCCCTCCCTGCTGACACTGTCGTATTTGGTGTTCAGGAACTTTGGGGTGTTGGGGGCTGTGACATTAGCAGTGCTGCACACACAGGCAGCTGGGACTCCAACAAGGACATCAGCTATGCTTTACGCCCTGAGCAAGCCCTAGCCATGTCCAGACTAGCTACAGCCTTAACACCAAGCTGCAAAAGCAAGTGCTTGTCACAGAGAAAACTGCCCTGGCCTCCGGGAGCTCCTCTGCAGTCCCACCCAGCCCTATAGCATCATTACCTGAGGCTCTGTTAAGTACTAAATGTGCAGAGAGAGACCAGGGATGAAGACACGATTAATCTTCCAAGATTTACACCTGAGTGTTAGAATTACCCAGGTCTCTGCTGCTGGGAGGATTGGTGGAGCCTGGGGGTGTCATTAGCTCCGGTGAAAGTGGGGCTGTCGGCTTCCCCCGCAGGGCTGGGCAGCTCTGTAGCTGGGCGAGCACAAAGCACTGCTCTTGCAGCTTCCTGCAGAGCAGATCTTTCAGCCAGCCTTGCCCCTCCCCACCTCTCCCGCAGTTAAAACTGTGGATGCTGTGCTGAGAATTGGATTTGAGGATTCTAATTCCAGTTCAAAGGAAGTACTGGGACTGTATGACAAAGGCTCTTCAGAAATCTCCCTTTACCTCAACCTACACAAGGATTCTTCCAGAGCCTTCCCTGAGCCATTCCCTTGAGGGGACGATGGAAAGAAAATGGGCCACACACCCTCTCTGTTAGCCATGAAGCCCTGAGCTCATCTGATCATCTCTTGCTTTATCCAAATCCATAGATGGGTGTTTTCTATGGGTAATTGTCACCATACCATAAAGCCATCATCATATTACTTCCTGGTAGAGAACTGGACTTTGTCACCCCCGGAAAATTGCCCTCCGGTTTCTCATTCATCAATTTAACAAATATTTTACCAGTTATATGCCAGGCACACTGTGCTAGAGCTGCAGATACAAAAGAGAATAAGATGGCAAACTTTCCAACAGGAGTTGGAACAGGGCTTCCCTGGTGGTGCAGTGGCCGAGAGTCTGCCTGCTAACGCAGGGGACACGGGCTCGAGCCCTGGTCTGGGAGGATCCCACATGCCGCGGAGCAACTAGGCCCGTGAGCCATGGCCGCTGAGCCTGCGTGTCTGGAGCTTGTGCTCCGCAACAAGAGAGGCCGCGACGGTGAGAGGCCCGCGCACCGCGATGAAGAGTGGCCCCCGCTCGCTGCAACTAGAGAAAGCCCTCGCACAGAAACGAAGACCCAACAAATAAATAAATATGAGTTGGAACATCTTTCCCTCAATCTGCAAAATGAAAGGTGAGCCATAATGCACAGAACCTGAGGCCCAGCGCTGCTGACACTGGGGAGGACTCCGGGACTTCAGTTGGAAGGACTTTAAAGATAACTGAGGCCAACCCTGCATTTTGCAGCCAGAAAACTTCCTGGTTAGTGTTGTCACCATCATGTCAATCTCTCTTTAGGTAAAGTGGTACCCACAAGTTCCACAATCTTAGGCAGTGAGGCAAAACTAAGCTTCATTTGTCGAGGCACGCCTCTGGGGCTTTGTTCCTGGAGCTTAGATGCAGCCCATAGCACCAGAGGGGACTTAAATACCCTCTAGGACTAGGGATAAACACTCAAGGCAAGATTTGTAACTCATGTGAGGCTAGGAAATAAGGAAGAATATTCTAGATCACTAACTGCACTTAGATAGCTTTAGAAGTGGAAATGAATTTCAGGAAATAAAACAGACTAGGTGACTTGGTGGCTTATTTCCCAACTTTGGCTTGATCAACAGTATTTAAATATTAGATCAATTCTATATGCAATCCATGCCCACAGATCTGTGTTACTGTAAATAGCCATTTCCTCTCGAAGCAGAAATAGCCATTTAGGTAACAGGACAGCGTTTAAAATACCAAAACCGAATGATGTACATTACACATCAGGGAAATGAAAACGAAAACCACAATGAGATAAAAATACACAGCTTCCAGAATGGCAAATGCTAAAGACTGACGATGCCACATTTTAGCAAGGGTGTGGAGCAATGGGAATTCTCATGTTCGCGAATTAATACAATTATCTTGAAAAACTATTTGGAAGTATCTGTTAAAGCCAAACACACACTTTATGACTCAGTATTCAACTTCTAAGTAATATCTCAGAGAAATGAGTGCTGATTACAGTGAAAAACATACTCAGGAACGTTTATTGCAATTTTATTCGTAATATCCAAGAAATGAAGAAACACCCAAACCCACCAACACTAGAATGAATAAATAAAGTTGTGGTATGTTCACATAAAAGGTTACTCAGGAAGAAAAAAGACAAGGTTACTGCTATACAGTATTCAAAATATGGATGAATCTCATAGACAAAATATTGGGCAAAATAAGCCAGACACAATAGACACACTTTGTGATTCCACGTATAAGAAAGAGTACATACTGTACGACCTCGTATTGTATCATCTTGTTCAGGAAGAGGCAAAATTAATCTACTATGTTTAAAGTCAGAGTAGTACTGTCTCTAGGTAGTGAGTGGAGTTTTGTCAGTTGGGTATTATCTGGGAAGAGATAAGGAAGCTTTTTAGGGGGATGGAAATGTTCCATGTCTTGATCTGGGTGGTGATTGCATAGACTTCCACATATTGAGCCTGTGGAAATAAACAAAGATCAGCCAGCTAGAAAAGCAAAGGGTATTTATTCAGGCTCTCACAAAAGAGTCAGCCTCTATCACTTATGTTTTGGCAGAGACTCAAAGGCAGGCAGAGGAGTGGGAAAGCTTTATGGTGGAAAAGGGGGGTGTGCCCTGATTGGAGGCTGTTGGCCTAGGGAAGCTGTAGGTGGACAAAATAGAAGCAGAGCATCCTACGTGATTGGTGTAGGGGTACCTGCTTGGTTTTCTTTTGCTGGACCTAAATTGGAATCGGGGACAAAAAGCAGGGGAGCTGTCACTTATTAATCAAGTCCTGGCCATTTGGGGCTGAATGTTACAGAAGTAATTATGTAGCTTCCGATAACAATGTGGTTTCCTGAGAATCTGACATCAAGCAGGCTGGCTTCCTGGGCTGATTATTTTAGATAAAAGGTTGGTTTTCTGGGCTGGTTGCTGCAAGTTGGTGGTCAGAATTCTATTTTTAGATATGGTCCAGCCTTTGTCTGTTGTGTATTCAGTCTGTCAGGCCAAGCACTTAAGACTTGCGCACTTTACTGTATGTATCTCATACCTCAATAAATGATTCACACAGAGACCAGAGGATTCCTACGGGCAGGCTAGCATTGAAGATGGGAAACTCACTGCTTGTTCTGAATTCTCAGAAAGAAGAGGACAGAGAGGCGGGAAGAGCTTTAGCACAGCCAGCCTAGGGACAGACAGGCGACAATGCCTCACAGGGATGGAAAGTGCAGGTCCTTGGTCGGGGGACCCTGTGTTCAAATTGAGACGCCGCCATTTGAAAGCTAGATGACATCTCATGAGTCACTAAACCTGCTGAGGTCTTACTCTCCTTCTGTTAACCCAACAATAACTAGTTGTGAGAGTTAAATAAATTACATGTAAAGGAATTATTAGCCATATCAGGAGGCCTTCTAGTCGGCCAGGCCACTGACTAGGATTTTCCTAGAGGTCTTAACATTTCCTTGGGCTTGCCTCGCCATTAAAGAGATTTCCCTTTCCCTTGAGCATTTCCTTTAGAACGCTTAACTTTGTAAATCCTTTCTCTGCCCCTTTGAGGTGTAAGTCTTTTTAAAAGCCTCTTGCCAGTTTTACAATCTGGGACTATCTTTCTCAAGGACCTGGGAGCCATTCTCTTGAAATGTAATCATCAGGTAGATAGCATCCCTAGCTCCCAGTCTCTGTGGGCCAGTAGGAGCCTAACTTCAGTAGGTACCATGCTCCCAGTTGTAAAAACACACCCTGTCATAAAGATGTGAGAATTTTATTAGCAAACCAAACCCAGACAGCCTATAAGCACCGCACAAAGCCCTTCATGCTTTCTCACTAGCGCACTCCAGTCTTTAAAAACCCCACACCCTGGGGAATTCCCTGGCGGTCCAGTGGTTAGGACTCAGCGATTTCTCCGCTGGGGCCCGGGTTCAATCCCTGGTCGAGGAACTAAGATCCCGAAAGCTTTGTGACGTGGCCAGAAACAACAACAACAATAACAAAAACCCCCAAAACTCCACACCCCTTTGTTTCAGTGGTGTTGGTTCAGATTGAGGTTTGGCTTCTCTCCTATGGCAGTAAGCTTGTCTAAGGTTTTGCTTTCTTGCCTGTTTTAATTTTGTCTGGTTCAATTTTGCTTTGACAACTGAATATTTTTTAAATTTTCCTTTATTGATTTATTTTTCCAGATGGAATTCTAAATATCACTTGTGGATGTTCTGTTCCATCCAGATGATGACTCCTCTCTATGCGCACGAACTGCATTTTCAAGGAGAACATACAATAAAACCCTAACCCCTGCAGGTTTCTACCTCCTAAAGCGATCTGGTCACTGACTGTATAAGTTCTTTCAGATAACTTTTAGAACCTTAAACAAGATAGAGGGAGAGAGGGAGAGAGAGACACACAAGATTTTTGGTGCAAAACTACCAAATCAGAGCTAGATGATGATTTTATCATCCTTGTACTCCTAGGACTACAAAATTCCATAATCCCAAGAGTCTTCTAAACTGTCAGATTTACATCTCAACTACAGAAGGATGATCTGAGCTTAGTAGTTCCATGAACTTCAGACACGGTTATACTAAGTTTCTTTTTTACCATTTGGTCTTTTTAAGAAAGAGTTAAAATATATTTTGAAATGGAATGTTCAAAAAGGTGTAAAAATAATGTTTTTCATACCTTATATACCCCCTTTCAGCTAAAGAATTTAAGCATTGCCAACACAATTAAAGCCCCCTCGTGTGCCCCGCTCGTGACCTTCCCCCTCCGCCAGAGGCAGCTTGCCCGGCAGCTTCCTCATGGTAAATCCAGTGGGGCTCCACCCCGCCAGTCAAATGCAGCAGCAACTCCCAAACCTGCCATTCAAAGACCAGGCTTGACACAGGGGTTCTTAGCTTACCCGTAGTTGAGCTTTTCAAGTGGCAGTGCTGGCTATCTCACTTCTGGGTCTAGGTGACTAGGTCACATGCTAACAGCACATAAACATCCCCTGCAGTAGAGAAAGCACCGAAGTCCTCACATACTTTTTGCCTCGCATGGGCCTTTGTGTCCGCCAGACCCCCATTCACATCCCACATTCTCCTTTCTCGCACCTTCTTTTCTAGGAAGATTTTCCAATCTTACCTTCACCTTTGGGAGCTCCTCTACTGAGTTTCTAAAACACCCTCTATCATCACTTTTCATAGTACACTGTAATTTTTAGTTAACTTTCCTGTAGATTTTTAGTGCTTTGGGAGCAGGCGTTTTATTTTTACATCTCTGTCTCCTGATACACAGTAGATTCTGGATTCATTCATTGAATGAATGAAGCGGGCGGCACCCTCGATGCTTTGAACTATCAAGAATGATGCCCAGCAACAAGATAGACTTATTGATCTGTTTGAAGCTTCTTGTTTGGAAATAACGATCCATCAGAGGAGATTCTGTTTGCTTTCAAGAGAGTCAGTTAACCTGAGAACCACACGTACATCTTCGCATTTTCTCCTTCATACATACTATCTTACACCCTCAGCCCCCCACACCGGTATAAGAAGAAAATAAAGAGAAAATGTTTTCCTTGCATCATTCTCCTCTCTCGCCAGCCCCCCTTCCTGTCTGAAATAACTACCAATAGCAACAAGTGCAAATACTTTGTTCTGAAGATTTATGCCCATTCTCACGATAGTGTTATTTATAAGAGTGGTAAATCAAAAACACTCTGAAAGTACAATGGAGGGATAATTAAGCAAATCATGATACAGCTACACAATATCATATTATAAAATTTTTTAAGGTACAAAAACATGAGAAAATTGCTATGGTATATTGTTAGAAGAAAGAAGTAGTAGGATGCAAAATTATACAGATGGTATGATCTCTCTTAGCAGAAACAATATGCTTAGAAAAAATATTTGATAAAAATTAACCAAAATATTAACAGGGATTAATTCTGAGTGATGGAAGTATGACTGGTTTATACTTCTCAGAGTTTTCTTATTTTTTGCTACCTTTATAATTTTAAAAAGCAATTTTAAAATGAAAACTAATCATGTCAAGTAAAAAAAAAAAAGTACTCTGTGTTTTCAGAGCAGAAAAGACCAGGTGCTTCTCAGGGGAAAAATGAAAGGTGTGTGCAATAAGAACAGGCACCTTCCCTGGACCTGGGGAGATCGATAGTATTACAAATTCTTCCCTCTTTTCTGTTCACTTCCGATCCTGTGGAGATACAGTCAGTAAAATGGTCTCAGCAACTTCCCGGCTCTTTCTCCAGCGAATCAAGGATTTTAAGCACCGAACATAAAATCTAAAGTGAAACCCAACGGGTAAACACTATCTTTTCATCACCTGTGAATTATCTGTCCTCCTGCCTTTTTCTCTGAAATATGCACACAGCTTGCGTCAAGAACTTTTTTTAGGAAAAATGCAGAATTGCTGAAAAGAAATACCGTGCGACTCAAAGTGTGGTCTCAGTCTGGCAACCTCATGAGCTTAGGAATTTACTTGGAGGCAAACTCTCAAGTCCATCCCAGACCTCAGGAGGAGAACTTCTGGAGGTGAGGACTGCTCTGAGCTTTAAAAAACTCTCCAGGAAAATTCCTTTGCACATTGACATTGAGAAGATTTCTAAGACTGAGATGATCAAGATTCCAATTAACTTCACTTTAACTCTTAAAGAAAAAAAAGAAAGAAAAAAAAGAAAGAAAAAAAAGAAAGGGGTAGGACTTTATGGCCAAGGCTAATGAGTAGTGGTGTACTAATAACAGTGAGGACGCTGGGGGAAAAGCCCTCACTTATAGCATTCTGTACATTCTGATCTACCCTTGTGACGTCACCGAACTTGGAGTCAGGAAGAGATGCACCCTAATGGCTTTCAAAAGCTAGGACAAACCTGGGGGTGATAACTAAGACTCATTTATTCATTTAATTCTCGCAACATTATGAGTGGAAATTTCTGTACAGCTTGAAGAACCAAATGATGTTGTCTTGTTAATGTGTCCAAGAAGGAGGAGGGCAAGGGCAAACTTATCCCACAAATCTCAGAGAAGGACTGATATTGCATCTCACAAACTGCCTAAAGCATATGAAATAGAAGTTGTAACATAATAAGCCCCATTTTGGTTTGATCTGTGATAGGGCAGGTTTGTCATTATAGTCAAAACCCAGCACCAAGTAAACCCATGAGCACTTTAAAATATTTCACTGGTGATACAGCTTCAATCGTGCCATTTATCCAGTTGCTGACTCAACCTGTTAAACGGAAACTAAAATGTCTCATGAAACTTCTTGTTTAAAAAGATAATCAAGGGTACCCTCGAAGAGACCCCCCCACTTGCACCTTCCAAATGATGTTCACTGCCTCCAGTATATCCACGTTGCTAGGTCAACTTCACGAGAAAAGTTTCTTTTTCAATCCAGGTATATACCTCTAAATGTATACTTTCTTTTACAAGCTAATAATGACAAATGCGTTCTCTATTTCTAACCTGCACTGTGACTTCTTTAGCAACATAAAGTATAGAGCACGGGTTAGGACACACACACCCCACCACCACCACCACCATCATCATCACTTTCTGGACCTTCAACAAGTTTTTAAACTCTCCAAGACTCAATTTTCTCCACCATAAAATAAGGTTATAAAAAAATCTACCTCAGAATTATTGTAGCATTTAAAAATATAACGTGAGGGCTTCCCTGGTGGCGCAGTGGTTGAGAGTCCGCCTGGCGATGCAGGGGACACGGGTTCGTGCCCCGGTCCGGGAAGATTCCACATGCCGCAGAGCGGCTGGGCCCATGAGCCATGGCCACTGAGCCTGCGCGTCCAGAGCCTGTGCTCCGCAACGGGAGAGGCCACAGCAGTGAGAGGCCCGCGTACC